TTGCGGGTGGGCGAATCCCCGTCTAAGGACGATGAGCAACGTAGCAACTCCTACCTACTAGTAGTACTCCTTTGTTTTTTTTTTCTAACTCTCCTTCTCCCTGCGGCATCCCTCCGCGCCCTACAGCCTCCATTCCGTGCCCTTACTTTGGTTTCTCTTCCCCATCTCTCACCCGTCACGGTACGCCTGGCCAGCCAATAGATAGAGAGAGCAGTACATGTCGAATTCTCGAACAGCCTCCAACAAGATTCAGGTATCGACGACAAATCAGTTCCTACACTGCTCCTGTGGTTTGCAAGGATCGATCGAACAAGCTGCACTATTCCTGTGTGTGTGTGTGTGTGTGTGTGTGTGTGTGTCCGTGTGTGTGTGTGTATGTGTATGTGCATGTGTGTGCGTGTGTGCGTGTGTGCGTGCGTGGGTGTGGGTGTGGGTATGTGTGTGTGTGTGTGTGTGTGTGTTTGTGCCCGCCTTTTGACACACATCGCCACTCCTCACACAGGAGTAGCCCGCACACGTGCATGCCGTCGGTGCTTTTTCCAAAAGTGGGATAGCCGCCGACGAATAGAAAGATAGCAGATCGGTGTAAAGATCCTACTCAGGACATCGGGGCGGCGGGACGGAAGGCGGGAGCTCCGAAAATTAAAAGGCAGGATTTATTATTAAAAAAAAAAAAAAAAGTAGGCAGGAGAAGGTGCTGGAGAGAGAGAGAGAGAGAGAGAGAGAGAGAGAGAGAGAGAGAGAGAGAAGGGGGGGCAGAGGCGGGGGGGAACGGGGGCAAGGTCCCACTTGCGCAAATTAGTAGATTTAGGCCGTTGATCCTTGCTATCTACGGTCAGTATCTCTTAATTCGTGCAAGTGGGACCTAGCCCGGGTAAGGAGGGAAGCGGACACCTCGGAGTTGAAGGAAAGAGGGGGGTAATGGACCGGGGCGGGCCAAGACGTGTAGAGATGGGAGACGGGCAGGAATCTCCCCCGCACCCTGGCCCCCGGCTGCCGGACGGAGTTCCATTCCAGTGCCTGGCCGACCCACAAATCGGCGCGGGCGGACAGGCGGTGGCGCGGGCGAGCCGATGGGCCGGCGGGCGAGGCGGTGGGCGAGCGGAACGGGCGGGCCGACCGGGCGGCCCAGCGGACGAGAGGGCGGGAGGGTGGGCTGCGGCGGACCAGGCGGACCGGGCGGCCAAGCTACCAGCACCGGGCACGCAGGCGAGCGGGATTAAAATTCGAAAGTTCAAATCGTTTTTTTTCCCTTTTTTCCCTGCGACAGCTGTGTATAAAGTGGGCCGTTTTCCAAACTACCGCCACAAACCCCGCGCCAGCTTTCCTCGCCCAGTGAAGTAAAAGTCTGACCCCGCTCTCTCAATAAGGGGAAATTTTTGGCGTAACGCGGGGCTCATCACTCTTCCGGGAAGCTCGAAAGCTGCGGGATTCTAGGCGATGAATGGGGCGTCAAATGACGTGGAGACAGGAACGAGAGCAACCGCTCTGCTGCTACTCTCTTTTCCAGGAGTTCCCGTCCCGCTTCATTCTTTGCACCTACACATAAAAAAAAAGGGCTGTTTTCTTTGCTTCGCAAAATAGCAGTCAGATGGCAGACCTCCATGCAGTAAGAGCACCCCGAGATCGAGCCATAGAGGTGGACCCCACTGGCCGGCGGCTTGGAAAAAAGAAGGCGCTCCATCGTTTTGGAGACCCCACCGGTCATGGAAAGAGGTGTGGAAAGCCTCTTTGGAAAGGTTTTCCAGACCCGACCGCTGATGGAAACGGGTTGCTGAAATGCTGACGGGGCGTTACTACATGATCGGCGGTCTGGAAAGTATTCCCTTTCCAAACAAGGTCCCCAGCACAGCAGCCGGGGGGGCATGTTCTCCGATGGCGTCGGAAGCCCGGAGGGCATGGTCCAGGCAGCGGTGGAGGGGACCGTTTTCTGGACCAGCATGCCGCTGCGGACAACCAGTTTGTTGTCGCACGGATGGCACATGGGCCCGTGGGGAGAGGCCGGTTCCACGTCCCCCTGTTTTCAAACGGCCCTGACGCGGTGGACAGAATTTCGAATTCAATTTTTTTTGCGGGCTGAGAACGACGGCCAGCCATGCAGCAGTGACCTTCGTCCCTGTGTGTGCATGACTCCCATATTGCGGTGATGCTTCGAACACACCGGCGTCGACATCATCTTCTTCGTCCGCCGTTGTGGTGACGTGCGTGCTGTGATGCCATCGCTGATGTCGTTCGCACGTGCAGGGGGTGAGGTCTTTGTGCAGGGTTGTCGTTCATGGTGCCTTCGTCACACAGTCTCTGTCTGTGAGCTGCTGTGTAGTGCTGTCGGAGGTGTACGGGCCGTTTTCTGTGGACGGCAGCGTGGAAGACAACCCGTGCAATGTGTGCATCATGTGTCCTGTCCTATTGTGAATCTACAGCCTGCAAGCTTATCGTCGTCAACGGTGCATGTCACACGGGCCATCGTCACGCGGTTGTGTGCCTTGCCATCTCCCATCGTCCGGCTTTCCAGAGAAGGTGTGTGTGTGTCGTCGCCAGACAGACATCAGCAGATGGGAGATAGGCTGGGGGGCATGTGAGAATGTGCATGCCACTCCACAACCCCTTCCTCGCCACGTCGTGGGTGCTCTTCCTTGTTGGCAGGCCTCCACGTCTGACAACCGCCGTCAGGGTTTTTGCATGCATGCCATTGTCATCGACACCCTGTGACATACCAGCTTCCAGACCTCCACCATCTTCCGGACCCCTCCCCTCCCCTTGTTTCTTTTGAATCAAGATGTGTCTTGCTCGGCCCCAGAAAACCCCTCTTTGTTTTTCGACTAAAAGTGCCTCACTGAGACCTGTATTTTTGTCAGCACTAGTGATTCTTTAAATTCCGTTTTTGTAATTTGGAAATGCATGGGAATTACGCGCGCTTTAGCGAGCGCGCTCGGAATTTGGCTCGACGGTTAGGAATTCCAGAATTAACGGAACTCGACATGTCCTTTCACGCATGAATGTTCTCGGCCACGACGTGGAAAACTCTGGGAATTTTGTAGTAATATGGATAGACGTAGGACTTTCTTTCTTTTCCCGCACCTATTTTGCGCGCGGATATGGTGATTTCAATTTTTCAATTAGCATAGGACTTGGAAAAACTGCAACTATTTCAGTGCCCATTTTTCATTGTGTGTTCGGTGCCATGCATAGGAGCTCCCTCCTCCTTCCTTCCCGCGCTCCTCTCGACGCCCTCCTTCGCG